GGAGGGAGGTGAAGAGGAGCAGTGATGAGAGGAGGGAGATGAAGAGGAGGGAGCTGAAGAGGAGGGAGGTGAAGAGGAGGGAGGTGAAGGTGACTCCATTAACACCCAGAGCTCATCAACAGAAAATGTCAGGAGCTTCAGCTGGAGAACGATTCTTTGACCTCTGCACCTAAAATATCATGATCTTCATCTCCACTGCCCCCTGGTGTCTGGCTGCAGTATAGCTCATGAACCTCCTCCTCCATGTTAGCAGATGGGACATGAACCAAACATTAAATAAATGTTTGTAAAGATGTTTCTGCCGTTCAGCTCGTTCTCATCTCTCTGGTCAAGTTTCTGATCAGTTTGGTTCAATCAGTTATTTGATGATGTAAAATGATTGACAGCTGACACTGACTCCTGGTTGGTCGACAAACTCTGATCACTAATGACATCATCACCACAAACGACAGCGTTCGTGTCCACGTCCGTCTTTATTGAGTCTGTGATAAAACACGTCGTGCAAATAAAAGAACATTTGATCATCACTGAGAAGCAGCAGAAGAGAAACACGAACTGAAGAATAAACTTTGTAAATGTTTCAGAAGAGATTCAGAAAAGATCACAACGAAGAAGATGTTCTTTAATTCTAAGATCGAATTATTTATATTGATGCAGTAAACGAATGTGTCTCTTTTCAAAATGAACAGAAAGAAACAAGGAGGATTCTGCTCCAACATTAATGGATCAATTCATAAACTTTTTCATCATGTTAATGGAAATAAATTAATTGAATCCACTTAGTGACGCCTGATAACGACCAACAACTCGTTCAGAGGGAACTTTTGTTTTTTAAAAACAATCAAACAGAATAATTACAAATTCATTTAATTCACAAAATATTCAACATTATTGATAAAAAAGCCAAAGTCAGGTCGTTAAAACAAGTTTTTTCAGCCATAGAATCCTGCAGAGCTGGAGCGGCCCAGCAGAGGGCGCCGTGTCTGTACAAGAGACAATGACGTTACTTTGAGTGAAAATCAACGTAAAATAAAAACTCTGCATGTGGATGATCCGAAGGAACAACGGGACATTTAACGTGGTTTCTATTGTTGTCGTTGGACAGAGACAGGCTAGCTGTTTCCAGTCTCCGCTCTTAACGCTAAGCTAACGGTCTCCAGGCTCTGGCGGTGGTGTCGTTCTTCTGCTGTCAAAACGTACGAACTTTTCCTTTAAGCAAAGATCAAACCAGTTTTTATCGAGCAGAACCCGGGCGGCCATGTTTGTCTCATTGTTTCCCATCAGACCTTTTTCCAACAGACCTCAGCTGATGCTAATCAACTGATCAGAGCGCCCCCTGCTGGTTATGTTTTTACAGCTTGTAACAAAGCGTAACTCAGTCGCCTTCAGCCGTCATGAACAAAACTTGGACGAGCTCGACATCCAACCTGAAAGTTTGTCTACATCTCGTCGGCGTGCGCCGGTTTGACCGCGTCGCGGCTTTTCTCTCTCGCCGCGGTCGGCTCCGCAACAAGAGCCGAGCTGTTCCCTTTCTGCCCCCCCCCCTGGGCTGGACCGACTACATCCGGATTTTCAGCGTTTTCTATTGGTTCTTGGGGGACAGGCGCCGCTCCCTCTGGGCGCCCTGATTGGCTGAGAGCCGACGGTGGTGACGAGGAGTCAGACTGAACCGCCGGACTCTCAATCCCACCTGCCACCGACTGGGGGGAGGAGGAGGAGGAGGAGGAGGAGGAGGAGGAGGAGGAGGAGGGGTCTGTCAGGATATTTCTGGAAATAACTGGAAAATAAAAAATCCATTTACACTTTGTTTGTGTGGAAAGATGAAAAATGGACTAAAATGACAAAACATGAAGTGATGTCGACAGAAACCAACCTCCTGTCGGTCTGTAGTCGTCGTCCACTGAGGCGTCGCGGCGAAACGGACTGAAACTCGGCAAAATGATGAGACCGAGAGAGACGAGGATGATCTGACAACACAGTCGTGTTTCCATGAATTCACAGGACATTACATTATTATTTGACACACACACACACACACACACACACACACACACACACACACACACACACACACACACACACACCTACCAGTAAGCAGGTGCTGGTCTGGGCTCCTTTACTGACCGTCTGTTTGATCAGAGACTGGAGTTGTCGAAGTTGAGACAGAAGAGATCTGAACAGGAAACACATCAACTTTACTCATGCAGACAAATCTAAAATCAAAAGTACGTCAACCAATCAACGACCTTCAGGATATTTTTCAAGAAATCATGATCAGTATCCGCCCGTCAACAACGCCATCTTATTCTAATCTTATCTTAACCCGATCTTAATCTTATTTTAATTTTATTTTAAATAGTGAAACAGGAAACTGTATCTGGGGATTTTAACCCAGTTTGTCCAAAAGCTGAAACTTTGCCTCTGAATAATTCCACATGTAGTTTAGTAGCATCAGTCGCTGCTGAAGTCTGTGACTGGAGCTGAAAACAAACACAACAGCGCCCTCTGCTGCTCACAGAGGGCAACTGTCTCTGCTCATCTCGTCTATTTATATATATATATATTATAATCAATGAAGATGTGATCATACATGTTTCGTTTCTCCAGCTGCTCCACTGTCCTCTGCAGCTCCTTGTTCTGTGCCGAGCACGCTGCCGCCCTGACACACACACACACACACACACACACACACACACACACACACACACACACACAAAATGATAATTAAAAATCACTTCTGCTGCCACAAGACGATCACTCGTCCACTGAAGCAGAGACGTTGGTTCAGAATCCGTCTCCTCCTGATGAACTGTCATCGTCACTATGAGCCGGTGGAAGTGTAAATAAAGATGGACGACCCGTGGCGAGGACTCACAGTAACAGTGCGTCTTTGAACACTTCACAAAGAGCAAAAAACTTCCTGTGAGTGGATCTGATCTGAAATCGAACCGGCGGTCGTTCCTCGTACCTGCTCTCCAGTCCGTCGATGTACTCCTTCCTCCTGCGGCGGCTGTCCTGAGCCGACTGCTTGTTGCGGATTTTCCTCCGAACTTTCTTCAGGATTCTTTCCTCTGCCTGGAAACAAAGTTTAGTCAAAGTTTGTCCTCGCCAGCCTTTGTCTCTCACTCTGTCACGTCTGTCAACTGATGGAGGACGGGTTGGGTCTGACCTTGGTGAGAGGAAGGTTGTTGGGCAGAGAAACTCCTTCCTGGTTCAGCAGCTTCTGCTCCTCCTCCGTCAGCTGAAGCTCGGAATACAACTGCAACAGCAGAAGAAGAGTCGGTCCTCCAGGTCAAACTCAGGCTCTGAGCGTCACGTCAACAAAATGTCTCCTCATACAATTATTCAGAAACCCTCACCAGGCCGTCGTCAGAGCTCTGAGGATCCACGAGAGCCAGGCTGCTGTCGAGGCGAGACGCGGTGACCACGGGAAGCTCGTTCACGATGCACGAGTCTGAAAACAACACCTGGGAGCTCCACTCATCTGCAGGAGGGAGACGCAGGAAGTTACATCATCAACACGCCGGTTTTTTATAGATTATTGAACATGAGGAAAAAACACATAAACAACTAATTCTGTTCATATGATGTTCATGTATTAGTGTAGAACCCTGTGACCTCACCGAGCTCGATAGAGATCACATTCTCTTGTCCAGGCTCCGCCTTCACACCTCCCAGCCCACTGATGTCATAAACCACCTGGTACACGGTTGAAGGGGTCGGCTGGGTGGTCGCCCCTGTCACCACGGCAACATGACTCTCCGCGACAGGATCCTCAGAGATGCCGCTGTCGCTCTCGGAAGATGTGTCTGCGGTCGGTCCGCTGCGGAACACCTCGTTTGGGTCGACGCCGTGGAACACGTCCTCTGATTCGCTGTCGTGATTCACCGTCGCCTGAGACAAAGCCAGAGCATCGGGTTTAAGACATTCACACATCGATACGTCACCGGCTCCGACTGTCGTAGAGGTGCAGGTCACTCACACAGTCGGGGTCCACCGCCCAGTCCTGCAGGGGTTTCTCCGAGCCACCGTACACCAGCTCGGAGCAGAACGGAGCATCGAGCTGCCAGCTGTCTGCCGCCATGCCGCCGCCGATAAACAGCTCCCCGCCCTCTGCATCCATCACCTGAAGACACAAAATCCAGACGTTCGGTACAGACACTTTCCAAAGGTCAACGAAGTTCCGACTGAAACAATCCAACAACTGCTGAATCCTGCAGACGTTACTGATGGATTCTGGGTATTCAGGACTCCGTTCCTCTATCAGACGTTTGAGGACGAGCCTGAGGGTTTGAACAAGCTTCAGTGTGAAGACTGTCTCTTGTTCAAACATGAGGAGGTTATCACAAGAGGTAGACGTGCAAGGTGTGTGTGTGTGTGTGTGTGTGTCTGTGTGTGTGTGTGTCTGTGTGTGTGTGTGTGTCTCATATCTAACACAGTAAAAGTTCACACGTGAACGTAAAGTGAGAGAAAAGTAAACACGACACAAACTGAACACCAGAATCTGACAAACCCAGGTGACGAAAGACTGGAGGAGGATATCCTGGTGAGTACACACACACACACACACACACACACACACACACACACACACTCTGACTAGAAACCTGAGAAGCTGCTGAACGTGTTTCTAGTTTCCTTTCTCTTCTTACAAACATTATTCAAGCAGCAAAACCTGAACCTTAACATTCCAGTGCATCACATCACTTTATATTAAAGTACATATAACTAAGTACATTAACTTATGTACTGTACTTTTAAATTCATGATACCTAACACACTGCATAGTGAACTCTTTTTACTGCACATTTATCTGATATGCAGTTGCAGATTACTTCGATAACAAAGTACATTTAAATCATGATTCAAGTATAAACCTCTGGTGATGATGTCAGAGTCTCAGTCGTGATCGTGGAGTCGAGGTCCCGACGACACAAATAGAGAAAGTGGAAAAAATCTTCCTGGATCCGGATCCACACCTAAATGGAACCAGTTCTTCTTTGGGTCAGTATTTATAGATTCGATATGTTTTGATAAATGTACTAATTTCACTTTCATTACTGACTCAAACACGTGTGTGTACAAATGTCAGTAGTTTGTGTTGATTGTATGAATACATTAGTTTTTGTATTATAACTTTTACAAACACAAAGTAGTACAGTGTGTATCTGTGTGTATCAGTGTGTATCAGTGTGTATCTGTGTGTATCAGTGTGTATCTGTGTGTATCTGTGTGTATCAGTGTGTATC